GCAAACATGATGGTGGTGACGTTGTTGAGGTGGATTTTAACACTAGAAAGTAACCCATAAGATGTGTCAAAAATTTTCCATGAAAGAGTGGAAGAGAATATTGAGCCTGACGAGGTTGTTGAACCTAGTCCACATGATGAAGAGCATCATCTTGAAAGGGTAAAGAGAACCAAGAAGCTAATGGTACAGTAATGAGGACATGATAGCGTATGCATTTGCTGCTTCAAGCCAAGAGCCATCCACCTATTAAGGAAACTTAGGATGATGTTGACACTTAATAGTAGCAGGTGGAGTTATGTCATGAATGAGGAGATGGAGTTTCTTCAAACGAATATGATATGGGATCTTGTGAAGTTGCCCAACGAGAGTCATTTGATATAGGCAGGTTTATAGGAAGAAGGAAATATGACCAAACTTTCAGTGGTGATCAGTTCAAAGCATGGTTGGTCACAAAAGACTGTATAGGGAAGGAGTTGAATAATGAAATATTCTCTTCAGTTGCAAAACACTATCGAGTGTTACTAATCATAGTTGCATTATTTGATTTGGAATTGGAACAACATGATGTTAAAAATGCATTCTGGCACGGAGGGATAGATTGATTTATCCAAAAGGGTTTGAGTTCAAAGGCAAACATGACCATGTTTGCAATATTAAAAAGTTAACATATGGCCTAAGCAATTTCCTAAGTAATGGTAAAAATATGCTTATACATTCATGATGAGATATGGGGGTGTCGGATGTAAGTATGACAATTGTGCATGTTTTCAGAGATTTACTGATGATTTGTTTATCTACTTGTTGCTTATGTAGATGATATGTTTATTGTTGTGGTTTGTGAAGAATTCTTCAAAAATTAGTAAAGTAAAGACTTGGCTTGGTAAAATTTGAGATAAAAGAATGTGTACTACAAGTGGAGATACGAAGAAACAGAAAGTTGGGCAAATCGTAGCTATCTTAGAAGTAGTACAATGACAAGGTCCTCATAAGATTCAATATGGAGAATTCAAAGCCTGTGGTTACTCCACTTAATGCACATGTCGGCAACCTGATCTTCAAATACAACTGTTGAAATGTAGTATATGTCTCATGTTCCTTATGCAAGTGTAAGTGGAAGCCTCATTTATGCGATTGTTTGTACTCATCCAGCATGTTGTTAATATTGTTAAAGTATCAGGAAAGGAGCATCGACATGCAGTAAAATGAATACTGCACTACGTAAGGGACACATCAAATGTAGGTTTAGTGTTTAAAAATAGTAGCAAGTTCGGTAACAAGGTCGTTGGTTATGTGGATGTTGATTTGGATTGTAGAACGTCTACTGCAAGTTATGGGTTTACACTTGCTGGAACTCCGATTAGTTGGAGGTTGATGCTATGACGCACAGTTGCCTTGTCTAAGACCAAAGCATAATACATAGCTGCTACAGAAGCAGTGAAAGAAGCCGTTTGGCTTGGAGAGCTTGCAAGTGATTTGGGATTACTATGAGTTGGAACAGTCATTTATTGTAATAATCAAACTGTAATATGTTTGGCGAAGAATCAAGTCTATCATGCAAGGATGAAGCATATTAGCAGCATGTACCATTTTATCTGTGAGATAATTGCTGAGGACAGTGTTTTAAAAATCGCCGAGTCGGCACGGAATCGGCCAATTTGAATCAGGAATCGGTCATTCCGTGTCAGTTCTTTTGTAAAGTCGGGAATCACCCGATTCTAGAGAGAATCGACGATTCTGCACAGTAAATCGTCCGGTTCTTCGCGTCATGATGTCAGGACCCGCCCAATCTTCTACAGTCAAAGGGCATTTTTGTAAACTTTGGGGAACTTCGAGGCAAAATTCGTCAGAGACCGAGAGCCCACGGGTCCATACGCTTCGTGGTGCCCTAAGTTCTTTCACGCACGTGTGCTCACGATCCACACGCTTCGCATAATCTCGTTGCCTCACACACGTTACGAATGGTGAGTACAAAGAACTATTTATTCATATAAATTTGCTTCTCTATTCGATGTGAGACTATGTGAAAAGGTAATACCTTAAAATGTTCATATATTATATATTTTGTTAACGGTTTTATAAACACTAAGTTGCAAGTGTTATACTGGTTATTGCGTGTGCTCATTGTGAGGACGGACACGGGTTCAATTCCTCTCGTTGAGGAAATTTTTTTTTTTTTTCTTTTTTTTGTTCAAATTATTTTCTTATCAAAAAAATTAAAGGTTTTTTGTAAAAAATAAAAATAAAAGGTTTTTATCAATTTCGCTTTTTGTTAAATTTTTTTCTTATCAATAAAATAAAAAGTTTTGTATAAAAAAAATGAAATTTTTTTGTCAAATTTTTTCTTATCAAAAAAATTAAAGGCTTTTTCTAAAAAATAAAAATAAAAGGTTTTTATCAATTTCGCTTTTTGTAAAAAAAATTTTCCTTATCTACAAAATAAAAAGTTTCGTATAAAACAAATGAAAGGCTCTTATCAATTCTTTTTCTTGTCAAAAAAAAAAAAAGGTTTTTGTCAAAAACAAATAAAAAATAAAAAGTTATTGTCAAAAAAATAAAAAGTTCTTTTTAAAAAAAAAATGCAAGTATTTTTGTCAAAAAAAACTCATTTCTTATTTTTGTTAAAATAAGTTCATATTTTTGTCAAAAAAACTCATTTCTTATTTTTGTCAAAAATACAACAAGCCTTTTTGTTAAAATAAGTTCATACAGAGAAAAAAAACTCAATATTCACATATTGATGAAAAAATTTAAAATTAATAATGTAGTACCCCGATTTCTTATTCGATTCTTAAAAAACAACATTTATAATGAATTTTAATAATTTTTTTAGATTTTTTTAAAGCTTAATCCGATTGATTCGGCCGATTTCCGATCCGAATCGCCGATTCACCAATCCGGATGGGTTTTTGGAGTGCCAGATCAGGGGCACCGATCCGTTTTTTAAACCACTGGCTGAGAATGATATCTTGTTGAAGATTGGTACTAAGAAAAATGTTATGAGAAAAATGTTATGAGTAATGATGACAAAGCTGGTTCCATTATAAAAGTTCAAGTTGTACTTGGACTTGACTACTATGCTGCCAAGGTGAGTGCAAAAGATGGTCAAATGGTATTGTTTTTGGAATTCAAGCTAGGATGGAGATTTATTGGGAGGTCATGAATCCCAAGGCAAAATGCGGGGTCACTTTTTCGGTTTCCTAATTTATTAGGATTTGAAGTCCTATTTTTCTGGGAAATACCTTTTTAATGTGTAAGAAGTGATCGATATTACTTTCTGATTTAGAGGGGGAATAAATCCCTGGCAATAGGTTGAATTACCAAAAAGTAGTATAATAATGGGATTAGGTCTATCACTTCATAGGAAGACAGTGAAGAGCATCCACGTGACTCTTTTGGGGGTTTTCTTTTTACTAGAAAAATTTGGCTTGTATGAGGAGAGAGAGAGAAAGGAGGTGTAAAGAGCATCACGCAAGAAAAAGTGAGACCTTGGATGTAGAGAGAAAAAGTATAGATAGGGACTTGAGAGAATGAGTTTGTATTGTCTGGTTCTTCCAGGTAAGACATTTCTGTTACTATTTTTTCTATTGCATGGTGCAAACCATCAATCTTCTTTGCCATTGGATGTTGTTACATCAATGTTGAACCATGTAAATTCCTTCTTCTTTTTTTCTTACTTGCTTAGTGATTTTTGCCTGTTCTTAGCACTTTCTTGTGGCCAGTTTTATTTTTCTCGCTCTTAACATTGCCAAAATTCAACTTGTCGGGTTTTTTAGCTTCCGTTCACAACAGCACCATCAAACTATTACAATTTTAAGAGTATTGTGTCCAATGCAGATGCCATGCCCGTATTGAAGTATCGATACATCATAGTTTCCCAAAAAACGAAGCACACCAAACCCAAAGTACCACTTGTGTAGGAAGTAGGAACCAATCCCTTGGTCCTACAGTCCTACTTGCAGATAGTTGTTCAGTAACACATATAAGCTACAAGTCATTCTTGTAGGCAATTTTATCCTTGAGTAACAAATTGTTAATTGTTCCTTAGGTTCATAAGCTTACACAGATAATTTAATCTGTAAATCAAATGAATTCATAAGATCAGAAGGACAGAATTTATGGTTAAACTAAAACAACATATAAAGTTGACAAAAGCAAAACACATATATTTCAACTATCAAGACAACAACATACTTCTAATTAGTGAATGGACATGTAAGCAACATTACCTGGATGAGAAAAATGAGTGAACTGGATCAACACTGTGAACTGAGTAGCAACTTGGAGAACCAGAGGGTTCACCAAACCAATTTAGTCAAATGGATGAACTGAACTAGCAAATGAACTGGACTGAAAAATCAAACAGGGCAGGGTTTTAGACTAGAGAACCAGCCAAACTAGTACTGTAATCAGGACAGCTGGATGAGTGATCAAACTGGGTAAAGGTAATCTAAGACAACCCTAATTGTGGTTCCCACGCCATCCATTGGCATCCATTATTTCAGCAGATGATGATTAACCCCATGGGCTATGTTTTTCCATAGTTGGTGCAAATAAGGTACACGGTCCCAACTTTTGTATATCTGCAAAATCAATCTCCTTACCAATCTGAATACTGCCAACACAGTAATGAAGTTAAACCTAGGCTTAATAACTGGCGTCATGGGCCTGAACAAGCCTAGAAACCCTTGAAATTTCTTAACAGAGAATCTCTCAGCTATTATTATATGAACAGATGGCTACATGGAGTTCCATAATCTACACAAGCAACCAATTAAGAGGCGGGGGGGGGGGGGGGGTTTGAAGTGAGAGAGAGGTAGGCATTTGGCCAATAAGCAACTTCGTTGTCCTAAAAGATAAAATAAGTATGTAGCCATGCATACATCTAAAGAAAATGCATAGTGAAGTTCAGTATGTACTCCAGGGTGCATTAGAGATGCGTAAACCATCTTTTCAATATTGTTAACCATTATATCTCACAAAAAGTAAGATCAGTTGTGTACCTGAAGTTCATTCTGTTTTATGTGGTTCCATATTCTTTTAATAACTTCACTACGTGGTAGTGCATTTTCACCAGTACCAATAAACTTTATGAGGGCATCTGAAAGCGGAAGAGGTGCAAGTAAAGCTGAACCTTTTCCCCCTTGACCTTTCTCTTGTTTTTGTCGTTTCACCTTTGGTACTGACACATCTGGTTTTACCTTTGGTACTGACACATCTGGACCTGAAAAATATTGGACACAGCATGAAACAAAAACTGGTATGACACACCGAAGCTAAAACGTGATTCAAAATATTGTTCCTAACTGACAAAATCAGCATTCAACATGCTTCTCCAGGCAATAAAAGAAACAGGAATCAACTACCACAATGCAATGAAAGAATTATCATAATCAAAATTTCGTATCCAATGCAGATTTATTGACCTATACGTAAGACCTATACACCAAAAGAGTGACTTGACAGATTGGATTACGTGTAAGATTTGTTCTTTCACCTTGTGATAAAAGATACTTGAGCTCAATAATGCCAAACAATCCTAGGCCAAGAACTTACTCGCATCAACAAGAAAAATTGCCACTGATCCAACAACAAATAGTGACAAGATGAGACAGGAAGGAAAGCAGAAATTCCTATAAACAAGAGGAAGTTGAACCTTTCTAGAAAAACAACCCAAAATTTAATTTACACAAACACCAACTACACCAAAAATATAATATAAGGCCCATAAACATATGAATGGAGATGCCGACATGTGAAAGGAAAAATGAAATGGTTGACAGGCTCTAAAGAAGGTTGCTAAAAAATACAATAAAATGATAACATCATAAAGGCCAATGAAAAAACATTTCACAGAACATATACTAAATTAATTGTGCTGAAAAGAAAATAACAGACCATGTTATGTTTTCAAAGGATCGATCTAGTTATCTAGGGCCCAAGTGCGTCCAAGGGTAGTCAAAGATGTGGGTGGAGAAGGGGTCAAATGCTCTTTGTGCCCTTGGGCAAAGTAGAGTAATCCATGGTACCAACGACCCCAGGTTAAAAAACAGCTAATATTCAAGGGTTTGGCATGCGCATTGAAAGATGAACACAATCAGATGGCTACATAATTCAATTCAGAAGATTTAGCCTTGGTAAAAAAAACTTCAGTTATACTCGACGGTGTGTAAACAGGGAGGTAAACTTCATGGCTGGTAGTCTAGCACTCTAGCTAATATGTTCTTGAAAGAGAACTTGGCATTAGGATTTCAAGCCACCATATTTCTGGGATCCCTTCTTCTATGTAACATATACAGGTCAATTGAAAACCAAAGTATGGGCATCAGTCTACAGCTATGCTACCATGCACAGATACATGTGCCTCTAAGACAAATACAAGCGTAAAACATGTCGTAAAAAATGTCAACCCTGAGATTGGTATTTTCGACACAGCACATCTTTGCATTATATAGATAACGGGGAGGTGAGATTTGAAGTGACTTAAGTACTTTTACAATGGGATTTCAACAAGAAAGGTAAACAGAAAGGGTCCAAATTTTTGAAGCGTCAAACATGAGTTTTGTGTCCTTGGTGTGATGAAATGCGCTAAAAACTATAGCAAGTGTGTCCATATCACTTAAGTCTACAAAGTTTTTCAGCTCATGGTATGATGAGAAATTAAAAGGAAAATAGGGGGATTAGCGTGTTGAGATACAGGAGGGAGATCAAGAGATTGGCATAATATTTAAAATATGAGATAGTTGAAAGCCAAGAAAGGAGATGCAGGGGTAAACAGTCGGGTAGAAAGATAGACAATCAAGCAGCCAGTAGTCTGCATTCTTGGCTCTTCAAGAGTATCTCGGTGACTGGATCGCACGGTCTTGGCCATCCAAACATAGTTGTTTTGGTAGTACTTACATAACTCATGATCATAGAGCTCATAACCATCATTGGATTGAACTGTTGCAGTGTGAATGGTGGTCTCTTAAAAAGAGGATTATTGCGGAGGGTACTCAAGAGTACAGGCCTCGGGCGTGTGGATGGCAAGGATATGGGTGCTCCGTAGGAAAGCTTATTGGAGACATTTTTAACTACCTGACAGAATTAATAGACAAAATAGTATCAATGCATAAAGCAATAGCTGAACACATGCATGATGCAGTGGCGGGCCAATAAGGTGCTAGCAGGGGTGTAACTTTGTAGTAGTAATCGAAAGGTCCAAGACTGGATAATGTGTCACTACCACAAAGCTAACCTGAACAGCTGGTTAGGGTCTGAACAATATTTGAACAGGTGCAAGAGAAACTAATCCGAACAAAATCAAAACTTGAGGCAGGGTGGAGGCCATTCACCTACAGGTGGGTCCAAAAGTGATCGTACATGGTGTGAGAGTGGACAATGTGTCGCAAGCATGTTGCACGAGACTGGAACATGCTGCATGTGGTCCTGATCAGGCAACATACAACATAGATCAGGCCACGTGCGTCCTAGAATAAGTCGTGTATGACCTATAGATTAGACATGCTTGCAGCCTAGATCTAGCCATGTATGGACCAGTTCTGGGTTGCATGCAGGTGGGAGGTTGGCCCATCTGTGACCTGTAGGGGGAAGGGTAGTTGGGTTAGTTCGGTAGTTGTATGTGGCTACCATATTGGACCCGCATGCAAGCATGTGGGGTGTGTGCGTCCTTTTGCTCGAGTCTGGTGAAGGTTTGAAAAACAAAAAGTAAAAAAAAAAAGAACTCAATGAGCCTCACGGCAAGCATGAAACTATTTGCCACTTATTTTTGCGCCTAATCGTCCTAGGCTGCAGGAACTATGGTAGAGAGGGTTACCTATTTCTAAGAAACAAGAAATTGAGGAAGGAAAATAAAATTACGAATAAAATGACTCAAAAGGTTAACGAAAGAATCCCACCAAAAGTATAGCTACTACTACCCGTAGCACACCACCTAAGCAATGATCTTAAGTTTTCTAAAACATTTAACCAAAAGGGAACTCAAATAAGAAATCAAAGGAAGAACATAATAGGAAAAAATAAAAAATAAATAAAATAATTAAAAAGGAAAGTAAAAGGAAAGAAAGTACCAGAAGTACAGGCTGATACATCAAATCCAAATGAATAACCATCATACACATTGTGGTGGACCGTTACTGATATGAGAACGGACTGATATAGGGTTCTTGAGGATCGGATCAAGGGTTTCTATGGTTGGATTCAGAGTCCCTTGGGTTAAATCTAGGTTTCGGGTCTTAATCTAGGGCTTAGGGCTGGCTGACCTAGGGTTGATCTAGGGCTTAGGTCTGACCTAGGGCAGATCTAGGGCTTAAGGATTTGACCTAGGGATGATCCAGGGTTTCTGATCCTAGGGCTACAATATCTAGGGTTCTAGTCCTAGAGCTAGGGTATCTAGGATTTTCTCGCTTCTCAAAGAGTCCAGAAAACTCACAAGAGTTCTAGGGGCTCTCTTTATGGAGCCCCTGTAGCTTTCTTGGAGACCACTCGTAGAATTCTAAGAGTTTTTTAGAGTGTCTAAATGCTCTAATGGGTAGAGAGAATACTACTCATAGAGTTTTGAGGCTAGGCATCTTAGGAATTAAAAGATGTGGGAACCAGGATTCTAAATCATGTAAGGGACTGATATGGAATTAAGTAAATTATTTTCCATGGAGGACTAGATGCTTATTTCAGATATTGTTTAGAACTTAACGCATAACTTTCAAACCGTATATCAGAATTGAGTGATTCTTGGACCATTGGAAAGCTCTTTCAATTCCCTATAACGTGGAATAGGTTTGATGTGCAATTGAGTGAGTTTTATTAGGGCGAAGTTTATGGAAAGTATAGGTGTTGGTATAGTCTGCTTCTGGTATCCAAGGGGTATTATAGTACATTGGACGATTCCTTTGGGTGCTTAAGAGTCCTATCTATGGTCTAAGATGAAGAAATCGTCTAATCTAGGTCCAAAATATTGAGCTGAATCTCAAGTGTCCACAAGGATAGGACGCTTCGTTTGAATTTTTCCTATTGAATTTTAAGCATATATTTTAAAGATTTTTTTAGGGTTTATTCTAGAGTTTTTAAGCTTTTAAGGATTTAAGGGTTTTCTAGTTTTTAGGACTTCAGGGGATGTTTGGAAAAGTTGAGGACTCCTTAGTGGCATTATTAATTCAATCACGTGTAAAAATGCCATTAAAAATTTGCTTTAATTAAGACTTCTATTTCAACTAAGATCAGGATTTCTCGAAGTCTAATTAATGAGTCTTTTATTATAATAGGGGTTCATGTAAACGAATAAGAAGTAGAGATGAATATCAATTGTTTTGGAAGCCCTGGTTGAATCAGAGACCTAAGAAGCTTGGCTTCCACCACTATCTTCAATCAAATTTTAAGTCACTTGAGTTCTTTCTCCAAATTCTCCAATGCATTAGTTGGTATCAGAGCAATCCCCATCCCCAAAGCGCCCTAAGATCTATTGCATGTTTGCTCGAGTTCGTGGTCAAAATGATGACAAAGTTACATGAGAGGAATTTAATGATTTGGAAAGGAGAACCAAGGAACTAGCATGTGAAATATGTTGAAAGTGTTCAACCCGAAGGAGGTTCTAGGATATGACGGAAAAGGTGCATCCAACCTGCTCTAATTGATGTTTTGTCGTTCAAGACAAAGTCGGATATGAATCCTACAAATTTGAGTTGACATATGAGAGTTCTTTCAATAATGATAGAAAGGATGAAGCTTTAGTCACAACTAGGGAAGGACTGAAGATCTTGCTCATGATGAGTGCCTATTGAAACATATATTTGATGAGGAAGAAGAAGAAGATCCTATATTCGACTCAGAGTTGTATGAGGAAAATTTGATTGCAGATATGTCCTACAATTTTCCAGTTTAAGTCACCCGTCTTTGATCCTATAGTTGGTTCAATCTATTATGAAAAACGCGATCTTGTATGTGATCTATTTTTGATGAAGAACCTTCAGAATAAGTTCAGGAAATTGGAAGCCTTTCTCCTAGAGATAGTAGGGAGAGATTAGATCTTGAAAATGATGAAGAAACCATAAATGGTGAGGTGAAACCATAAATGATGAAGAAACCATAAATGATGAAGAAACCATAGATGGTGAGGTGAACAGAAAATAGGTGAGGACGATGATAGCCATGGCAAGGAGAAGCAGGAAACCTTAGGTTTTCTAGAGGAAGTCTTTGGCAAGAATTTTGTATGAAGTCAATGTGTACAGA